ATAGGAGGGAAGGAGGAGAGATGAGGACGATAGATGTTTGATAGGAGGGAAGGAGGAGAGATGACGATGATAGATGTTTGATAGGAGGGAAGGAGGAGAGATGAGGACGATAGATGTTTGATAGGAGGGAAGGAGGAGAGATGACGATGATAGATGTTTGATAGGAGGGAAGGAGGAGAGATGAGGACGATAGATGTTTGATAGGAGCGAAGGAGGAGAGATGAGATGAGGACGACAGTGGATGTTTGATAGGAGGGAAGGAGGAGAGATGAGGACGACAGTGGATGTTTGATAGGAGGGAAGGAGGAGAGATGAGGACGACAGTGGATGTTTGGTAGGAAGGGAGGAGGAGAGATGAGGACGATAGATGTTTGATAGGAGGGAAGGAGGAGAGATGACGATGATAGATGTTTGATAGGAGGGAAGGAGGAGAGATGAGGACGATAGATGTTTGATAGGAAGGAAGGAAGAGAGATGGGGACGATAGATGTTTGATAGGAGCGAAGGAGGAGAGATGAGGACGATAGATGTTTGATAGGAAGGAAGGAGAAGAGATGAAGACGATAGATGTTTGATAGGAGGGAAGGAGGAGAGATGAGGACGATAGATGTTTGATAGGAGCGAAGGAGGAGAGATGAGATGAGGACGACAGTGGATGTTTGATAGGAGGGAAGGAGGAGAGATGAGGACGACAGTGGATGTTTGATAGGAGGGAAGGAGGAGAGATGAGGACGACAGTGGATGTTTGGTAGGAAGGGAGGAGGAGAGATGAGGACGATAGATGTTTGATAGGAGGGAAGGAGGAGAGATGACGATGATAGATGTTTGATAGGAGGGAAGGAGGAGAGATGAGGACGATAGATGTTTGATAGGAAGGAAGGAAGAGAGATGGGGACGATAGATGTTTGATAGGAGCGAAGGAGGAGAGATGAGGACGATAGATGTTTGATAGGAAGGAAGGAGAAGAGATGAAGACGATAGATGTTTGATAGGAGGGAAGGAGGAGAGATGAGGACGATAGAAAATGTTTGATAGGAGGGAAGGAGGAGAGATGGGGACGATAGAAAATGTTTGATAGGAGGGAAGGAGGAGAGATGAGGACGACAGTGGATGTTTGATAGGAAGGGAGGAGGAGAGAGGAAGACGATAGATGTTTGATAGGAAGGAAGGAGAAGAGATGAAGACGATAGATGTTTGATAGGAGGGAAGGAGGAGAGATGAAGACGACAGAAGATGTTAGATTAATTGGAAAGAAGGAGTAAGCCACACCAGAACCTGAGAGCACCCACCAGCCACCCCCACAGATTCACGAACAAGAAGCAGTCTTCAGTCACCCGTGTAATGTGCTGTGTCGGAGTAAGCCCAACCAATCATAACATAATAGACTCAGAGAAAGTAAAGGACGTCACTCGTAGGTGACTTGTACAGTAACGTTAACTCTTGCTCTCCTCCTTTTTTTTTTTAATAGTAGAGGGTTTTTCAGCGCTCGCAACTTCATACGGTCATATGAGCGCCCAGTCTTCTTTTTTGTGTTTGCTACTCTCTTGTAACACGTCTATACATCTTCGGCACTTATAATATGACCTTATTGTATTGCAAGTGCTGTAAAACACTTACTGAAACATAACTCTTACTATACGAGTCGAATGACCTCTTTTTGTATTGCAAGTGCTGTAAAACAGTTGTTGAAACATAGCTCTTACTATACGAGGCTATTCCACCCTTGTACGCAGGCAATTTTGTCATCCATTTTTTCACCACTGTGAACTTCCCCAAAAGTTCACTCCTAGTTCACCAATTGTGAGGCATCGTGGTGACACCAGGCGCTCGTCATAATAATGAAATGGAAAAAAACCCCGGCATTTTCCCACTGGCTTGGCAATTTTTATCCTGTTGAAGAAATGTTGGTGCAACACCTTTTATGTCCAATTAAAAACACATTTCTGTGTGTATTTTACTGATAAACATTGATTAAAGGCACACAAAACGTAAATATTCAGTTTCCAAGGACTCTTAAGCTATTGAAGTCACCAAGCTTTGGCAAGCCGCTTTCTCGCTAATCTTACACCTGAAACAGAGCGAACATCACCTTCTCCAATCGTAAATATCTGGATTTCCATTCAAGATAGATGGATACTTTTTTTCATAAAAAGCAATGCATTGGATTACAGCCAACCAATAACGCCTCATGCCTCAAAATTGACGAGCGCCTGATTCCATTGCGTGGGGCTACAATTTGAATAGAAATAAATCATCCATGCCATAAACATAGGCCTACATTCTGATGATAGACAAGATGGACTCGCTGGGGTTTGGTATATATTTTTTTAACAACTGGAAACAACGGAGCGAGGCCGAGAGCCAAGTAAACTGACACCCCACCCAGTAGGTAAAGAGTTAAGTGCGGGACACATTGACCCGAGAAATCGAAGTCAGAAATAATCGGCGTTTCACATCAAACTCATCAAGCGTGAAAACGGTGAAGAATTACTGCAGCCGTAATTTTCTCAGACAGCCGCAACCTATTGTCGAGGGGAAAAGTGGTTGTCTTAAACAGGTGAACGTTTCCGACCGACAGTGTCATTTTGATTTTTTAAAATTTTAAACGCAAAAAGGAGGACGGAAAGGGGGGGGGGGGCATGGTCGTTTGTACAGGTGATTGTCTAGGACAGGTGCTGGCAATGGAGCAGGCTCGACTGTGTGTATTTCGCTTTGCTTTGTGTTGTTTCGAACATACATTTTAATTACATATGATGTCCCTTTTTCTTTTGAGTCAGGGAAATATTAACCACCCACGGCATACCCCTGACACAAGCTCTCCGGCTGACGACAGAGAGACGTCGCTTTCTTCCCGCGACACACACAAGGTTATAAGCGGCGGATACAAGTAAAGTCTTTTGATTCTCTGGACAATTCCTTATGTGTGAAATTGCAGGTGTTGTGTGGTGTGCGTGTATTCCCATAATTATTCGCCAAAACAGTTAGACAGATATCGATGATCACTCGATGATTTATCAATGACTTATTCATCAGAAGTATTTGACAAGATGACCTACGGGATGGTGTAATTAGACATCAATAGCTTCATTGATTCTGAGTAAAGGAGGAATGAGTTTTTTGGTTGTAAGTATAAATGCCCTCCCCCAATCCTCCTTCACTCTCTCTCTCTCTTTCTCTCTCTCTCTCTCTCTCTC